CGCTGCAGCGCAAGTGAAGCCACCGGGCTTCACTCGCTTGGGATACGATTTGCCGTTTTTGCTAGCCTTTGCTGCGGTTTTCCAGCGTGCTGACGACACGTTTTCTACTCGTTCGTCGTCATTCGCCGAAGAAGTTTTTTGAAGACTCTGTGTATTGTTGAGACTTTCCGTTGTGAACACGTGGAAAATTTTACGAAAGTGCAGTGTCGCAGGAAAAAGGCACAACGCGTCGAAAGGAAGGGCTGGCGGCGTGTTCAAAGCATCCTTGGCACGCCGAAGTGCCGTGTCTCTGTGCCTTCGCACGCTTGGATACCGACCGAGAACCGACGCCGTGTGTATGTGTTCAGCGAGTGCAATGTGCGTGAAGCTGTTCGTGCCTCTGGATCAGCGTCTTTTCCCCTCGCGGTTTAGGAACGAGCTTAATCCAGCGTCCACTAGCGACGGAGGATGGGGAGAAGGTACGTCTTTTTTTCGTCCTTAGACGATTTACACTATACCGTGCACAACAGCTCCTCATCACTGATCAGTGCTGGCTTATTATCAACCTACGCGACTCGCCTAATTGTAATTGGTCAACAGATTGCACACGACCATATCGGCCGCGTTTCAAAGATTTTCATTCTCGCAGTCTTGTACTTTTGCTTTCGAAAACCCCCCTGGCTCCACGTACAACGTTGCCCTATTCGTGCTCCCACGGAATCTATTAGAGTAGATTTGGGACATAGCCATGGTTAATATAGAACATAAGAATACGTACAGATCTCCCCCTTTTATTGATAGCAACTCACCGGAACAGCTGGACGATCCAGAACTCCGTGGCCGATATATATAAATGATCTAAAGGCATCTACGCGCGACACACGTTCAGAACTTTGGCGCGGCGTCAATTCTTGACCGGTATCCAAGCGTGCGAAGGCACAAAGATGCATCACTCAGCGTGCCAAGGAAGCTTTGATCACGCCGCGACACCGGCGACACGTTTTCGACGAGTTGTACCTTTTGATACGGCTTCACGCACATTGCACTCGCTAAACACATTCACACGGCGTCGGTTCTTGGTCGGTATCCAAGCGCGCGAAGGCACAGAGACACGGCACTTCGGCGTGCCAAGGATGCTTTGAACACGCCGCCAGCCCTTCCTTTCGACGCGTTGTGCCTTTTTCCTGCGACACTGCACTTTCGTAAAATTTTCCACGTGTTCACAACGGAAAGTCTCAACAATACAGAGAGTCTTCAAAAAACTTCTTCGGCGAATGACGACGAACGAGTAGAAAACGTGTCGTCAGCACGCTGGAAAACCGCAGCAAAGGCTAGCAAAAACGGCAAATCGTATCCCAAGCGAGTGACGCCCGGTGGCTTCACTTGCGGGAGCGGCAAGCGCGATCCAGCAATTGTCATTGAGATCAGTGAATGGACCTTTTCCGAGAAGCGTCCTGCGCACGCGCGAGCGCCCGATGCCAAGCGGTGGAAGTCGGCACGAAAAAATCGAGGAAATTCGGAATGAGGCTGTAAATCGACGAGTAGAACACGTAATTGCAGCATATATATAATTGTGTTACACAAAAAAAGAAAGTGGACGGAAAGAAAAACACGACGTTTGGGTGGACGCTACGGATTTCCTTCTTTAAAGTCGCGCTAGGCCTACCTCGTTGCGTTGGGCACGCGACGCTGCTCAGAGAGCGAAGCAACTGGTAACGTAGCTCCCATTATTGATTGGTAGCGCAGGTCACTTCCTCGATTTTTTAGTTCGCGCAGCCACCGCCTGGTGCCGTCGGTATATGGAAAAGGTCCATTCTCGCGCTTCTTGAGCGCCGAGTTCGAGCGATGGCGTGGACGTACCTTGCACGACGAAAACTCGCGCTTGTTCTGTTGGTGCACCGCCTGCGCCGCAAGCGTACATCTTTGACAAGCGCACGGTCTACGGTACTCAAGCTTCCTCGTGTCGTAGACACACGGGTGAGGACGAATTCCCTCGATGAGCTTCTCCACGACCGAGTCGGATTCTTCGAACATGGCGCCACACGCAGTAGTGCTCCCGTCGTCTGCTATTGCTCGTATTCGCCGCGCTGCCCGCGCGAGGGCTGCCGGGAGCCAGCGCGTGATGCATCCTGGTCCGGCGTCTCCGGCGCGGCCGGCGCGGAATACGGCATGCTCCATTTTGGCGTCGAGGCGATCAGGCTGCGTCGAACGCCGCCGGTCGCGTCGGTTACGCCACGACGCCGGAGTATAGAGCGTCGGGTTTTCACCGACGTGACGTCGCTGTGACGCGCTCCCGCGCGCGCACGCGTTACGTCGGAGTATAACAGAGCCTTTACTATACCCTATCTCACAAACATAAAAAAAAAAGCACAGGCGCGTGAGCCTAGCTCAGCAGAATACTTTTGTTTGTACGCGTGCGTAGGAGGCCCTTTCCAAAGCCACGCGCTCGTGCCCATGTCTTTGTCTGCACAGCAGGCGTTTGGGAGATGGAGTACACACTCCTTTTTACACTAAGTCCGTACGCAGGCGAAGCTGCTATCCGCTGAAGTTAATCGATCGCAGCGCCAAAAGTGCATCGTCACGGTCTTTTTGCGTTTGTTATCGGCGGCTAAAATGACCTCGTACAACGAACGCGCCGTGATCCTGCGTTCCTTTCCGTGCGCCTGAGTGGTCCGACCGGCGGCAGCAAACGCAGAAAGACAACGAGCGTCTAACGAAGCACATCTGGCGCCGCTTTATGCGGAGCGCAAGTTCGTCTGCTTCTTTTGCGGGGGTTGTAATGACGTCAGAACACCAAGCTCTGATTGGCTTTGATTAAAGGATAGTGGGTAGACTTTAAGGCAGCTTGCTTTGAGGTCTACCCACTATCCTTCAATCAGAGCTAATCGGAGCTCGGCGTTCTGACGTCACCACGCCCCCTGCAAAAAAAGCAGACGAACTTGCGCTCCTCAATGGCTTCGTAAGATTTCAGCGTCGGCTGCGCCAGCATCTCCTGGATAAGAAAACATTAGTGCTGCATTTTCCTGTGTCACTAAAGAAGGCCGCCGTAGGGCACGGATGGGACGCGAGCGATGTATCAGCGTTCGGTTATGGTCCCTATAGAAAGACTGGCTGCACCCGTTTTCACCTCGAGAAAAAAAAAGTTTTGCGCGTTGTTCATACGTGACACAAAGTAGTTCTTACGAGATTTGGTTGTCAGAGGAAAAAGCGATGCTTTTGGTGTTTGGAACTTGTACGTTTTGATAACATATACATAATCTAAAATTCACTTTCATATATTTTAATATTCGCATAAAGAGAGAAATTAGTAATGCTCCGCGAGGGGCCGGACTTGTTTTACTACGGTTTTTGAGGTGAAACGGGAATAGTCTTCCGTCCACTGCCCCCGTCGGCGACTGCTCCGGTATGAAAGAGCGTGGCGGCGCTGCGAGCAATCGGCGCCAGAATTTGGCAGTTACCAAGCCACAAAAGAAATCCAGAGAAAATACGATAGACACAAGCAAATGAGCACTTCCTTGATGAATTATTTGTAGCTCCTGGCCTTAAAAAGCCTTAGCCGTTCTTGCCTTACTGCCCTCTCGTTCTTCATTGCTTTAGTGCAGTGGTCGGCAACCAGCGGCCCGCGTGTCGGATCCGGCCCGCGAGGTAGTAGCATACGGCCCTCAGCCTCCCGGTAACCCCCCCCCCCCCCCCCTCCCCCCCTACGCGGTCAGCTAAAGAAAAAAAAAATAAAGTTGACTAATTCGCTGCCCGTCTGAGCAGACTTTTTCACGAATGAAGTGCATAAAATTCAACTTCCGCTCACGAATGACTGACGAGAACCTCCACAACGTTTTGCGACTCGCAGTTAGCAGCTTGAGTGTGGATGTCCGTAGTTTGGCGAGCGCAGTTCAACACCAAAAGTCTCACTGAGAGGAGTCTCTAGGTTTTCGTGGAAATGTCGTATCTCATGTTGTTTGTCGTGAAATAAAGAAACTGTTCATTTTCGATTTATTTACGTCAATGTAAGTTCGCGCAAGTGCTTTTTTTTTAATTTTAACTCCCCCCCCCCCCCCCCCCCCCCCCCCTGCTGCTTGCCGTCCGGCCCGTTCCGCCTTGTTTTCGCGGCGACTCGGCCCGCTTCGCCAGAAGGTTGCCGACCACTGCTTTAGTGTAAAGGCGGAAAAGGAGGAGGATGAAGAACCTGAGTATGCCTGTTATCGGCACAGCATGCACCTCACAGCCTAACAAACGTAAATCTGTCCTTGCTAAGAAGGCAGAGAAGTCAGCAATGCTTTTTCTATTAAGCTTGCTGAGACTGAAGAAAGTAGTGAGTGAGGAAGTTAGCAGATACAACAGCACGCGGATTGCGAGCAGCTCCCCTGGAATTCACGGCGCTGCCACCTCTCTGCTTGGAGATAGGCGGATCTAAAAAGTGACGACTAGCCAGTCTTTCTAAGAACCATAGTTCGGTGCTCGTGTTCCATCGGCCAGAACGCAAGTTGCCAACACTACCTAGAATAAGGAAAGCCCGTACGCTCTCACATCGACGTCATTCCAGTGAGGTCGAGCGCGGACACAGAATAGACTCGTGTGCCGCGTCAGCGGTCGGCTGTGTCCTCGTGTCCAGTCAATGCGTCAAAAAACGCTCGGTGTCAGGCTCGGACACAAATGCTGAGTTGGCGCCATCCGAGTGCGATGACGTTGCGGGGAGATAGAGGAAGCTGTTCACAGGCTTCAGTTATTTTTGGTTGTGTTTGCTACACCCGGACTTATAATGTGAGACATTACCATCATAGAAATTTACAGTTAATAATTAACCGCTAAATTACCGAAACTCGGGGTCCTTGCTGAACGCACTCACAGATACGTCTCATTTCGCTTTGGCATCATCGATGCGACAATGACTAGAACATCATAAGTAACATTCAACAACTAAATTATCGAGACACGAAGTCGTAACTTAAATAATGATGACTGCGATTAGTGCTTGGGGATGTCGAGCAATGTAGCGCCTTCGGTGTGGTGCCGTTGTTGGGATCTCATCGATTGTTGACAGTGCACCAGGGCTCCTTGGTCACGTTGTAGACGAAGTCGTGGTACTTCTGCACGAAGGTGTAGACGCCTGGAAAGCCCTCGCGGCCGCACCCGATCCCCGTGGACACGAGCCCCAGCTGCACGTACTTCCCTTGCACGTGCGATCGAGACACCAGGGGGCCCCCGCTGTCGCCCTGTGGGAAAAAAAGTTGGTTATCCAAGCGGTTTAATATGGTGTCAAGACACTACCCCATCAATATTTTGCGGCAGAGTCGCGAAGCTTTTTAATAAAGCAAAAAACTCAACTGCTTCGAAACAGAAACCGAAGATGAACACAGAGACACATGGCCGACTAGCAGACCGAGGAGAGGGTGGAAATGTGGAAAAGGAGAGAGTTGCCGGAAGTCACGTGGCTATCGCTCCCTACGAAAATTACTAGATTACCTCAGTTTTGAAACTCCCGTAAAGGGGGGGGGGGGGTGTATACCCCCACGGGAGTTTGAAATGACGGGAGGCGGACCAGAGGGGGTGAGGAGGGGGGGGGGGCCCTCACCTTCTCTAGTCCGCCTCCCGTCATTTGAAGCGCCATCCAGATTTTTGTTTCAAAACTGTGCATTTCATAAAGTACAATGAAACCCCATCTAGACGATGTGCTTCAAAACATGTATTCCATAAAATTCACCGAAGTTACAATAGGTGACCGGCGTTTGGCAGCAGCCGCAAAGCACTCTGGGTATTCTTCACTTCCGGTTCGTAGCTAGCAGCCGACGCAGCCCCAGGACGGCTATGGAAGCGTGTGCGGGTGTTGAAACCCGATCAATCCGGGCCACCTTCCTCTGCTGCCGGGTGACTTACGCACTTCTGAACGTCTCAACTTACGTCTACGGATATGTTAAGTAGTAGTCGGTACGCAGAAGTATCGAGAACGGCCACGAAAGCGCAGAGCGAGTGCGGCCGGCAGCAAGCTGCACTCGCACCGCGCTTTCCGGGTCTTCGCATGAAAACTCAGGTTAGATGTTTCGTTTTCCTTTTGAGCCAGCGTTTTTTATTTGGGTACTGTTTATTTTTGATGGTTGCGTTAGATCACATCACGACTGAAATAGGAGCGAATGTAAGCCGTAGGACGCGGCCAGCTGAAATGCCCGATCGGAGGTCTGGCGTACTTTTCTGATTCTGTTAGAACACCTGAGACTGGGTAAGAAAATCTTGAAGCAATCAAAAGTTGAAGACAGGGAAAGAAGTCGGTCAGACGGCGTTTACAACTCAGGTAATATGTTTTCTCGCGCGATTGAAACGCCACTTCCGTACACAAGTTAGTTTCGATGACATCTGACTACGTGACAATCCTTGCTTTTTAACACTAAAAATTGGTTTGCTCTGTATGTTTATACAGCCATGATGGAGATGCGCCTCAACGGGTAATCGGTCTCTTAGCAGTAGATGACAAATTTAGCCAGTGCAGTACAACCGCTAACCTGGGGTTTTTAACATGCATCACGCAGTAGTGATCACACGGACCCGTGCCGGTACGAAACTCATCCAGATCGAAACGGGCGACGGCGGTGGGGAACCGAGCCCAGGAGGTTCCCAGCGCAAGCTTTCGCTCCACGCTCCGAGCTGAGACGCGTTAGCCCACTCGGCCACTTCCTCCCCTGCTTTTGAACACTCACGCGTTTTTGGTACTTCGACTAGGTTGTCCCCCGTAAACTACCATATCCCCCACCCCCTCTCACGTTTTTTTTTTTTTTTTTTTTTTTTAATGATGTCGAGTAAGAAAGCATGCATGAACGAGCACCGATTGTGATATGAGCTACGCAGGGTCGTACTACCGCTTTATTATCGGTCAATATGAAGGTGCTGCCATTGCTTTTACTGCTTTATATTACAGCAAGCTGACCTGTTCTTTTGTTTATTTATATTATAGTAAGCCACCCATTCACCGCCGCTTCGCGGGAACAGTCTGCGGCGGCTCATTACAGAAAAAGTTAATCCGAGCTGTCGATATAAGAATTAAACGGCCTGGCGATGGCACTTTATGTCGACGAAACGTCATGCTATGAACTGATTGCCTGCGAGATGGCATCTCGCGTTCTCGCGGATGCCTTGTACAACAAGCAGTGCTCACCCATTCGCGGCTTAATCGAGACCTTTTTGGTGGGTGCCAAAAGAATGTTAGAGATCGTTATTTCCCGCGGCCCCTACCTGAAGACAGAACACGTTCTACTGGCCTGTAACAATATTGGCCACGCATAAACGGTCACCGACGTTTGTCTGTCACAGGTCACTTCACTCGCTTAACAGCGACGACCCATCGTTGCTTCCATGCCTTGTTTCACGGGAATTGGAACATCGTATGCCCTCTATGGCTTGCGTTAGAGCAACGTACCGCGGAACTGCGAACCATTTTCACCGCGAAAACAGCACGGCTACCACGCCTAGAAGGGCTCTTGATGCAGCTGGACGCGCCACGACCGGCACCGGACGAACCGGAACCGTGAAGTCACGTGGTGCCTCGCTTCAGATGACGAAACTTCCGGCTCGGACGACGGGAGGCTAAAGCGCTGAACATCCTGACTTATCCAAGTATACCGTCATCGTCTGATCGGGTCGCGGGCGCTCCTATTGGATGCCCGCGACGCGTCGCCATTTACGGCTCATGACGCATCCCACATCCGGGCGCGCACGCTCCTCTTATACTTCGTTTCAGCTTCGGTCCGAGCGCGGCCGATGTTATGAGCCGAAGGGCCAATCAAACAGCGAAAGAGGCATGACGTCATGGCGTGCTCTCTGCAGTTGATAGGACCAGCCGGTATTCGCCGTCTCTCTCTGCGTGCCCCTCAGCCGGCTAGTCCTATCAAACGCAAAAAGCACGCCATGACGTTGTGCCTCTTTCGCTGTTCGATTGGCCCTTCGGCTCATAACATCGGCCGCGCTCGGACCGAAGCTGAAACGAAGTATAGTTTGCTGTGGTTGCCGGTGATACACCGCCGTTTGCAAGAACGCTCCGATTGGTCTATTGGTGCCGGCGCCGCGCCTCCGCGACAAACTAGAGTGGAGGTGACGCTCCACCATTTTTGGCTCAAGTGCGTCCCAGCATGCACCAGCTTAGCGGTACTCGTTTCTAAAATCAATCCAGTGCTTTACGGGAGGCGAGCCGTAGGATGAGATAAGGGAGGGGGGAGGGGGGGTACTGCCTGTGCAAGCAGGGTCTGTGGGCGGTTCCGTAAATGATCTAATTTATTCTGTACTTCGTTTCAGCTTAGGTCCGAGCGCGGCCTATGTTATGAGCCAAAGGGCCAATCATACAGCGCAAAAAGCGCAGCGTCATGGCGTGCTCTCTGCGCTTTATAGAACTAGCAGGCAGAGGGGCACGCAGAGACAAACGGCGAATACCGGCTCGTCCTATCAACTGCAGAAAGCACGCCATGACGTTGTGCCTCTTTCGCTGTTTGACTGGCCCTTCGGCTCATAACATCGGCCGCGCTCGGACCTAAGCTGAAACGAAGTATAGTAACATTGTCCCTACCCCACCGCGAGTTCGTCTTCGTCCAAATCATCGGCTTGGTGCTCGGGCGTGCCATACGGAATAAATCTTCCTTCCTTTGATCGCTTAAACATTTATATCGAAGCGAAACAGATTGGCAGGTACCGCGAACGACAGTTCCGAAGTAGCAGTCCTACGTCCGTCCCGCATCGCCTATGCGTCCTCCAGGCCCCGATACCTCGCCATATTGCTGATGACGTACTATATGTACTTCCGGTAATCTTTGCAATTTTTATTTTTAAGGCCTATATGTTCCATTGCGCGAAAAGGCGGCGTCTGCGTTGTGCCAGAAATATGGTTATAAAAATGCGTCATCAAGCACACGTCGCTCAAGGACAACACATCTTTCAACTTTCAACAAACAAAATGTGTTTGTTGAAAGTTGAAAGATGTGTTGTCCCGTCCCCTGTCTTTACGTATATAACTCTTTCTAAACCTACATCATTACCAACGCGCTCACTAACAACTGAACTTCCACAATATTAGTGTGTTGGTTTGTATACAACCGCTGGTCCCACGTATCTCTCTTATCTCGCAGAAACCATAGCTTTCATAAAACATTGAGTGCTGATCGGAATTGTGGTTTGATTAGAAAGTTAACACGACTGATCGCTACCCTTTAATAGACTAATTAATCGATAAATCTGCTAGTCGATTTTTCGCCGGTCATATTGCATGAAAGACGTTAAAACTACACATGTGTTTACTATTTTTACTATGTCATAAATGGCATATTGAATTCTCATTTTAAACTTCCCGCTGCGACTCCTCCAGAAATATGAACTTTTAAACTTAAGTCATTTTTAAGTTACTATTTAAACAGTACTATCACCCTTAGTGACAGTCAGCACGCTGAAGTAGTTTACCGTGCAAGCCTGTGTCATAAAAGAAATAAAGACGTCATAAATATTAAAGCAGAATTTTTTTACTTTTTGGTGAATTTCTCCAGCACAATATTCCAATTAAACGAAAAAAAAACATAAAAATTTCAATTAAGGCATAACTTTAATAATCTGTAATTTTAATCGATGAACTGCCTATTCCCGATATATATACCTTAGGTTAGGGCGGAGGATGATCAGAATTAAAATCTCGTGAAGGTCGCCAACGCTTATCAGTAAAAGAGTGTCGCGGCGGCCAGTGCGGTCTGTGTCGTGGTGCGGGTCGTTTGTTGGAGCTGCAGAGTCTACTGTGTTTGAATAGAAGATTGCTTTGCCAGAAATCCATAATATTAGCCTCTTGATCTCCGTGGCCCTCAACAAGACGATTGAAGCGGGTGAACACACACTACCAAGAAGAGCATCTAATAACACCAACGTTGCTGCGTAGCTCGGTTACACTCATTTATTACACTCGCGGACGATATATTAGAACAGTTTTGTTTCACTTGTTTCAGTCGTCCTGCCAACATGCAGTTTGTGGATCGTAACTAGAAGAGGCACTCTCTCCTCATCGTAAGGTACTAAAATTGTTCCGACTCCGAAAAACTTATCCACACCATGGCACAGTAAAGGGAAACATTGGCCAGAGAGGAACTCAATAGCACGGTAATTTCCGATACAACAGTAACTTTTTTTCTAGCTAAATATATATGTCATTGTAAAAGCTAAAAGGAAATAAAAATGCATTGAACCTGCGATTTTACAGCTCACAGTACCAGTATTGTGTTATCAGGTTTGGAATTCATTGTTACGTTGAATTCCCACGCTGGTGAACCGATACATACATTTCAAAAGAAACAAATATTTAACAAATAGTGCAGTTCACCCGGAGACAAGTATCCGTCGTGGCGATCCATGCTTCCCAACATCTGCCTAGAGCAGACGACGCATCCACACGAGCAATTATTTAAATTTAGGCCGTACGCTGGTAACACGATTCGATCTTCACTGAAGTATTAACACGTACCGCACCATTTCCCGCTAGAATTCTTTTTCCACCGATACTATCCGACAAAATACACACAAGAATCTACGCCTTCTTGCGCGCGAACGTGGAGAGCATAGGGGGCGGCCGTGCTTTTATCCCCGCTTTAAAGATGATGATACCGCGACAGTAGCGCCACCTCTAGGTCGGTCTCGAGGCCATACACGTAAGCAGTCTTAAGTTTCTTCGGAGTATTTTAAGTTTTCTTTTAATCAATGTATTAGCAGTTTTTTTTTCATAAGCCACACAAAAGAGTTTGATAGATATATATATACATATTTTTTTTTAAATATTGAGTGCGTGTTTTAGATGATCTACGACTTTGATGATATTTGATACGCTATAGTTTGAACGGAGCGTTACCATAAAAAATAGAGTGAGTGCACCTCCAACCGGCTAATGGTTTTCGGGGGGCAGAGAAAACACGAATTTTGAGCCGCAAATCGTATTTCTATAAATAAACTGTCATAAACAATGATAACAAACACACACATACACACTTTAGCGAGCATAACTACCCTGCCGTGTCCCTTTAATCAGTTTTGTTGATATATATTTTTGTAAACTGTTTCGCGCTTGTTATGGCGGGTGCCCCCGTATACACAACTTTTCTTTTTGCCGCAAAAACGAAGTGCGCACGGCTCAACGCTCAGCCTCCGCCTAAATGTAGCACTGGTGATCGAGACCAGATGCCAAAATTTCAGAGCTCGCCGTTATCTTATGAAAATAAGAATTGATTTTCTGAAATCATTCAGTTGTATATGGCGACCGACCAAATCCACGATTGCATGGAGACGAACCAACACCTCCTAGACAAGAAGGCCTAAGTGTTGCATTTTTTGCGTCACTAACGAAGGCCACCATAGGCCACAAATTGGGCACGACTACGGCGTCACTGTTCGGCTGGGATTTGGGTGCTCTCTGATTGGACACGTGCTCCGGCCGAACGCTAACGCTGCGCTCGTGTCCGATCTGTGGCCCAGGATGGGCGTCTTTAGTAACGAGAGAAAATTAAGCATTTACGCTTACTTATCTACGAGGTGGTGGACGAACGGCGTGAACTACAGGGAATGTACCCCTTTTTAGAAAGCAGCTCTTAGGCGCCCGTTTTCGGGTTGAGCGGCGTCGGCGTCGGCGTCGGCGTAGCCGCACGTTGCATTATGGGACTTTTTCCGTAATGAGCTCACCTGGCAAGTGTCTTCCTTGAGTCCTCCCGCGCAGATGTTGGTGTCCAAGATGAGGCTGCCAAACTTGCTGACGCACTCTGCGTTGGAGACGAAGGGCACCTCAGCGTCCTTGGGCGTGTCCCTGTCCCTGCCTCCTGCAAGCCCAACAGCTTCGTCAACTATACGTTGGGGTCCGTGTTTTCGGTGATTATCGATAAAAAACAGAAAATGAATCCCGAATTTTATTTTCACAAAATCGGTACCCCCCCCCCCCCCAAAAAAAAAAAAAAGAAAAAAAAAAGAAAAAACAACAGCAACAAAAAAAACATTAACAAAGTTTTGGGGAAAGAACTTTAAAACTATATATTTATTTTGTATTGATCCTGAACAGTGCTGTTTCTTTCTTCGGAAATCATGCCCATTAGAAAGTTTCAGTAGATTTAGTAGATAGTTCCGATACCCCACTAACGGTGCCCGATAACGATACGACACATGCAAAAAGGCGTAGGCGGAGTGTTGGATATCGTTATGGGATGTCCTTTTTCTTCCCTTATCGGTACGGGAACGTTGTTTTCAAGTATTCAGGTCACACACGTATTCCCTGGAATTCGGAAAATCCCCTGTCCTATTTTCTACAACATAAACTCCGAGAAACACCGACTTTTTTTTCTTAAACTGAATGCAAAGATTAATTGACACCGAAAAACCCCGTATTTGTGAAAACAAATGAAATAAAAAAAAAAAAAAAAGCTCGAAGCACTGAGTAAGTTATAGAATTTAGAGCAATGAGACTTCAGTCACATGCATATTGCTTAAAATAATTATTGTCCGTCTTGAAAAGCGCTTTCAATAGTAGCTGCTGCGCCAATTATCCGAGTACGCCATTGCTTGGGCATGTATACTCTGACCAGGGTCGCGTCGGCGTTCGGCGAGGGCTCAGATCCAATCACGGGCTTCATGTCCAAGAAATGGAGACCGTCAATGTTGCTTGGTGGGGCTTTGAAAAGAATTCTATTCTAGGGAACGCTTTTCCGTCCACCAAAAATGTTAAAACAGCCCGCGAAAGGGGGCAACAATGGCTACTGAATTCTCGTCTTCGTTTCTGAAGCTCAGGAAGTCGCACTCTCGAATCGCAACCACCGCCGATATACCTTTTGGCAAAAGTTTACCCAAGCCTGGGAGTGTAGGTGTACACGGGCTGTACACGCTCGCCTTATCAGTATAAGAGATTCGAAGTAAATAATCGAAACAAGGCGTTGACGAAAGTACGTGCAATTTGCCTTCTGTTTTAGATGTTTGCTTCGGAATAGTTGCTGCTGCAAAAGCCAGCACGCGCAGCAGCGTGACTACGCGTGCTCCTTGGTGCTTGGGTAATTTGGACAAAAAGGTCTATTGCATCTGCTTGCACTTGGCAACAAAATGGCGGCGTCTGCAAGACAATCGGGAAATGGAGTGCGAAGACTCTAAGCGTAGCAAATTGCCGTGTCTAGTCGAAAAACAAACAAATGAAGGCGCCGCCCTCGAAGGCATTGTGCCTTTTGCCTTCTGGCGTGCATCAAATATGTCGCTCTCCGTTTTTTTTTTCTTGACCACTACTACCACTACCCACTGAAAAGAAATATATGAATTTATTTCTTATATGTTTATTGGACACTCATCAGAACTTATTGGGTATTTTATATCGGTTTCATATGTCACATAAGTTTCAGCTAGGCTAGGTGACGCTAGGTACCGCCCAATTCATGTGCTACAAAATAATCTTATGTGCTCACGCCACGACCACACTTCAATCCACTTGGGCAAGTATGCACACATGTAGATACACTACGCAAACCACAAGCATTGGCTGAACCCATACACAAACACGGCACAACAAACATGAATACAACAGCACACCCGATAACTACTGAGCTCTGCGTTTCCGCCTTTAATACAGGTCGTTTTGAGGGTACGTATTTTCTCAGTGACCGTTTAAGCAATAAAAAATATTCCCATCATGTTGATTTTTTTTAGTAATGTCATACCTCTGAGAGTGTTTCGAACGGCTCAGGGGATGGATCTCTAAATAAAAAGTAAACGCTCATGCCGTAATTATTTGAAAGCCAATAAATCAAGGCGCTCCACTGCGGCTCCAAGCCACGTGTTTGCTTTCCCGCGCGGCACGTCGTATACTGAAAAAAAAAATGTTATGAATTTATTTCTGAGATGTTTATTGAACACATTTTCACATCCGTTGGCATATGTTGCCTATCAGTTCTCATATGTCGCATATTAATTTTTGGGTATTTCATATCAGTTTCATATATGGCGTATCAATTTTTGAAGATTTGATATCAGTTTCACATGTCGCATATCAGTTTTTGGATATTTCATATCAGTCCTTATATAGATTCATATATTTTTTCAGTATGGTACTGCACTACTACTACTACTACTACTACCACTATTACTACTACTACTAATAATAATTTGATCTGATTATTTGCACTAGGTATCACGTACATGATACTGGAAATGTGTGGAAAACGCTGTCACAAGTTCTCACGAATATTGGTAATAGAAACAACAACAACAATAATAATAATAATAATAATAATAATATTTTTTTATTGAAGTACACAAAAATAACAACTGTGGTGTCTTGATTGGTGAAACTATAAGTAAGAAACAAAAAGAAAAAAATAACAAGAATAACACAAAACACAAAATTAAAGTTAGTAAAATGCGAATTACTGAACAAGTGGCGGAATACAAGGTCAATACACAGATCATCTATATTCGGAGTGGTGACACCGTTTCGAAGCGACTGGAACTGCGCTTTTGTGTGCTTCCTGAGCACTGAAGATTGACACAGACCCGCGTTTTAACGCTGCGTGTAATCGTTCTGTCTGGCTTTAGATATTTCAAAAGTTATATCGCTCTCCTGCTAAGGCACTCCAACGATTTCGGTTCTGACCATAAAGATAACACAATAAATATACAGAAAAAAAAAAAGGTTTGCAATCCGTCCATGCATTTCGGCCGCCTAAGAATGGCGAGGTATATAGAGCCTACCATAAAGGGTCCAATGAGACCAGATTAATGGCGGCAGTTCAATAAATACGAGCAGCTTGCAAGGTCATTACAGTTAATTGTTTAGCTTTGTTTTGCGATATCGACGGCGGGCGATCGAATCCACGAAAATTAAAACGGACAAGCAATTAAACAAGTTAATGCGTCGCTGCAAATCTAGCGCTTCTGACCTTAGAAGGGCCAGAACTGCTCGATTTCTCTACTCTTTTTTTTTTCTTTGCTTTTGTGGTTTCGTATACAATTTCTATTCGTAATTTCCCACCCTCCAATCCTCTCTCTTCTCTCCTTTCCCCGTTATCTTATTTAATCATACGGCTTTTAAAGTTAAAATGCAACTACCGGAAACACATCTACATATTAAGGATAAAGTCGACATCATCCGTCTAACGGTATGCTTATCTATAAATCGTACAAGAACGCGATGCTTATCCTAATCCTTGAATTAATAATAAATATAAGTAAAGCATACGCAGTTCATCTCACCTCATCCCGTAAACGTGGACATTTCGTTTGGACTTTCCGACGTCCAAATTAACATTAAGACTTTTGTTTCCTCGTTTTTTTGTTTTTTTTTATTGACGCCGTTTAACTGTGTACAGGTGTAACTTAGTTCAGGTTGACTAACTTTGACATATGGTAGTGGTTTCCTTATTTGACAGCAATAGTACAAAGTAGAGATATATTCATGCGGCAAAGCAGTTCACTTTCGGAAACTTGCTAGTCTGTGTAAATAAAATGTTCGTAGCAAATAAAGGCTGCGCCATTTTTTCTCAAGGTAAGAATTTTGCTCCTTTGTTTATATATTTTGGTTGTAAAATTCGCACAAAGTGGCTGATTTAATTTACACGTCATAAATCGCTCTCAAACTCATTCTACGAATGTATACTCTGTTGGGATTCGTCAGGCCGCGGAAAGCATAACGCTACTTAAGGAGACGACTACAAGTTCGCTTCTCATCTTAAAGTGTTTGACAAACAACGGCGGCGCCATCACGCTTCCGCGAGCCACATAGGACGCCCATCGCTGCAATGAACGTAATGAATAGTGCGTACAAGGAGGCCCTCAACACATCCCGATGTAAAAATTATAACCGTGCTCGAAAGCGAGGCCACTGTCCTTGCGCAGATGATACATTCAAAAGCCCACATTATTGCGCCTTGTTTTTCGTCCGACTCCTTCAGTAGGTGTCGCTGATTGGCGGCCAGATTGCGGTGCGCGGATGTTGACGCATGGGTATCAATATAGAATAGACTCCTTTTCAAAATACCTTCAGGCAACAGTGGCGGCGGCCACCATACTCGCCGACGCAGCGCTATTTCTCGTAGCTGTTCACGCCGAAGGCCGACGCAGTCCTTGTCTCCGATACATGCTCAGAGTGCGTGCCCAAACAATGGCGGACGCGGATAGTTGGTACAGAGGGAGTTGGCCGGCTGCCAAGAGCGTTCGGGACAACGACAGCAATGCTCCGAGAAACTGCGGGAAAAAAAGAGACCAGGGCGCGGCCGGGAGAGCAGAACCCCGAGCTCTGCTTGGAATATTCGCGACTCCAATTCATTATGGGTGGTGCCACTCGTTTTCTAAAATGGCGGTTATAGTGAGGGTCGGAGATGCGCTCCGGTACACCAGTTGCTGAGCATGTCTACCGTGTTGGCTTCACAGAACGCCACAAATTATTCCTGCTTATAGACGCTTTACACACGCGCCAAAATACAGCCGCCATTGCTGACCTCTTCTTGTTTTACCGAGATACCAAGCCACTGAAATTGGTGTGGACGAGCCTCCACAAAAGCCAATGCTGGGGAGAAAGACAGAATAAAATCTAAGATGGCAATAACCTGGCCTGCTATGGTAATAATGAAGTGAAGTAAGCGTAATAAGCGGAAACAAAAACTGAAGGTCAGTTATGGCGGTGCACATGCACAGCTGCTGCGAAGCGTCAATACGAGGAAGCTAGGCTGTTATGAGCTCAGGACATCTCTTTATCCTCAAACCAAAGCTGCGTTTAGAGTAATATCTACACCAAGAGGCACGTTTTAATTTTGGAACAAAACTGAAACTAACCTCTATCTTTTGGTTTAATTTC